GTCACGGAACAAGAATAATAATTTGGTAATGCCTTAAAACAATTTTGGAAAATTGGTTTCTTACACAGATACTGCGTTACCCAGGGTAGTTCATATTTTTTGTTCTTTTTGACTGGGCAAAACATACAAGTCGCTCACGGCGAGATACCCATACAGCACAGTGTACACATGAATTTTACCCCTGGTCGTGTATATGTTTTGTCTCTATTTATAGGAGACACAATATTTTATGCAACACAGCGATTGATTAGATCTTGCCAAGGTGTGTCAATATTACATCTACCGTGTGTAATGGTTGTAACTCCGTTGCACTACTATTGTAGTATTTCTATTGTTTCCTTTTGTTTCCGACCAACTTAGATCGGGTACTGTGCTGTGACGGTGACCTTGGCATTAGGAGTCTTTTTGACATTGGTTGTAAAGTTCTTGTATGCCTATTGAACATGCGCTGTGCAGGTGATGAATGCAATCCTTCCGTTGGTGTATTCCGGAAATCAAGTAGCGTGATGTATGGATCTGATCTAGATTGTACCGCTTACCTCATTAATCTCTTCACTGTTTTCACCGCATTCTCCACTCTTCCATTTGATCGAGGACATCCTGGTGAGCAAGTTTTCTGTTTGAACTTGTAAGTACGTGCAAATTATGCAAAATCTTTTCCTGAGAATGGTGGTCCGTTTCCTGATACAATTTCATCCGGTATTCCATACTTGGCCATGTGATCTTTCACAATTTTATGACTTCTTTGGCAGTCTTATTATAAAGTCTATCAACTTCGACAAAATTGGAATAATAGTCTACTGTGACCAATATGCTTTGTTGTCAAAGTCACATAGGTCTACACCTATCTTCTCCCATGGCCTTGTAGGCACATCGTAACTTGTGAGTAGCTCCTTCTGCTGCTGAGAGGAATACAAACTGCATGTTTCCCACTTTGAAATATAGTTTTCTATTTCGTGATTCGTGTTTGGCCAATATATAGCTTCTCTGGCTCTTTGCAGACAGCCTTGTATTCTTATATGACTGCAGTGCAGCCTTTCTATTATCGAATCTTTCAGTGTAATGTCAGTTCCTCTCGGAAAGGAAAGAAAAACTGTAGGAACTGTGGAAGTACCTATTTTTTCTCCTGGCCATCTTCTATGAATGACTTGTTTTAGCTGTCTTAACTAAAGATCCATTTCAGTTTCTCTTAAAATCTCAGTGATGCGTTCCATAGAATCTGGTAGATACTCAACAATACTTACACTTTCTAATGCTTCATCTATGATTGAGCGGGTATCAAACTCAATTACTATATCGCTATCCCTTACTTTTTGGTGCAGGCAAACATGCAGGGCTCAATGTATCAGCCATATACATCTGTGTACCTTGCTAGAAGACTACAACGAAGTCAAATTTCTGACCTTTTAAGAGCATTCTTTACAGCCGCTTTGGTGCACTAACTAAAGCTTTCTTGCAGATTATTTCAAGTGGTTTGTGTCACTTTCTATGACTACTCGTCTCCTGTAGACGTAGTTCTCGAACCTTTCCTTTCCAAAACCTATTGCTAGTAACTCCTTCTCGATATTTTCATAATTTACCTCAGTCACGTAAGTGCACGTGAGGCATAGGGAACTGGGAGCTCATCTTGCAGCAAACAAGCCACGAGTCTCGTTGCAGATGCATTTCATTGAGAATAGTGTCCTTCTCATGGTCAAAATAACTTAGCACTAGTGCTGATGTCATTTTCTCCATCATTTGATGTTGGCATTTGTCATGAATTTGATCCCAATAGAACTCTGCGTCCTTCTTGATCAAATGTCTCAGTGGCTCTGTCACTTCCGACAGCCTTGGAGCAAACTTCTGCACATAGTTCACCATGCCTAACTATCGCTGGACTGCTTGCTTATAAGTCGGTGTAGGCATTTCTTTGATTGACTCTACCTTTGCACTATTAACTTTCAACCCTTTTTTACGTGTCTTATGAATGTGACTTTCTTCTGCCTCAATTTAATTTTATCTTTGTTCAATTTGACATTCATTTTGCGACATCTCTCAAAACGTTCCCGAAGCTTTCGTCGTTATCCTGTGTGGCCTCAGTATCATCTTCACCACTTCCCCATACCAGAATATCATCACAAATTGCTTTCACACCTTTAATCTCTTCCAAGCCTTCATCAAGTCTCCTCTGAAATTCTTCAGTCGTTGATGCTGCACAGAATGTCATTCTCCTCCATCTGTATCGTTCCCATCGCGTTCCAAATGTGATGAGTTAGCTAGATTCCTCGTCAAACTTCACATGTCAAAACCCATTTTTTTGTTTGCATCCACGACAAAAAAATTCTCCTCCTGCTTAGGTCTGGCAGAACATCTTATATTGTTGTAATTGGGTAATGATTCCTTTTCGAGACTTTATTTAAAGGTTTGGGTCAACGCACAGCCTTATTTTCTTGTTGCTTTTCATAACCACCACCATCCTATAAATCAAATCTTTTCGTTCTTTATCCGGAGTCAACATTCCAAGTTTTACCAGTCGTTGAATTTATTACCTCAACCTCGTCTTAACAGCAATTGGAATTTTTCACACTGGCAGTTTTACTGGTTAGGCTTGTTCTGTCAGTTCAAGGTGGAGTTCTCCTTCCAAAGGATGTTCTCCCCTGAATATGTTTTCATATTCCTGTATGAGGTTTTGTGTTGCCTCTACTCTCGTGGTATGTTGTTTATTTATAGTAACTAGTTTCATTTTCTACACTGCTTGGGCTACAAGTATGGGTATTGCCTTCCCTTGTAAAATTACAATCTCTAAGATGGAAATTCTCTTATTATTTGGATTTGTAATGTGTAAATTTTTACCCAATGATCTCGTTTCGCTGTTGTTATGCATGACCAGTGTCACATTTTTCTTTGCCAGGTGCTTCAGTTTGTTATCATGGCATGCTGTCTTATAATCTGTTTCAGAGATTATAAGAGATTAACTGTTGAACCATAGTCTGACTGGAAATTAATCTGACTCTCATGTAAAGTCATTTTGGCAAATAATTTCTTTCAATATGTTTCTATCCCATTCACTTCTTCTACTGTCATCACAAATTCATCACTATCACTGTCAGGACATGAATCATCATGTACAACGTTTGCCCCTTTTTTCGGCTTGTATTTCTTTTCGTGTGCTTTCCATTTTGGAGTTTCCTGTTTGCACTTCACTTCAAAATGGTTCTTTAAGCCACACTTTCTTTATTTATGCTTTTTTCCGTAGAATTCACCTTTTCTTTGCAGCTGACTGTGCTCTTTGTACTTTTTACTCTTCTTTTGGGCTTTTGCCAACACTTCTTCCTGATTCATAGCTTTCATCTGTTCTTGCGAATTTTCGTATGCAAGTTCTTAAGGTTAACTTCTTGTTTTGCAACAGTTTTCCCGGTGGTTCAGTCTTTCATTCCAGTTATCATTCTGTCTCGCAAAAAACTGTCCTCTAAATCACCAAATTTACACGTTTATGCAAGTGACCATAGCGCAGCGACGTAGGCATCAATGTTCTCTCCATCTTCATGTTGTCGACAATTAAAATTATACCGTTCATGTTTCATTTGTTTCTCCTATACAGTACTTTTCAAACTTGTCAAGTACTTTGTCAGGTTTATCACTGTCATCAACATTCTCAAATGTGAAGGTCTCGAACAGTTATATGGCGTCTGACCCTAAACACGTAAAAAGAGTGGCCATTCAAAGATTTTGGCGCCTTTACCGCTAGCCCCGTAGCTACCTCATAGTTCACCCAGACTCATAATTTTTTCCAGTTCGCAGAAAAATTTCCCCGAAGCTCCAGTTTCAGTGAAAAATGTATTGATGTAGGCGAAGTTGCCGTACTTCTGACACCATGTACCGTCTTTCAAGGACAAATTTAAGACAGAAGACAGGGCTGCACACAAATGCACACAAACACGTTTAATCACTCTCCTCTAGCACATGTTGCACCCTTCTAGGTTTTCCAAAAGAGAGTACTATGATAATAATGGAACTAACTCCTATATATATATATATATATATATATATATATATATATATATATATATATATATATATATATATATATATATATATATATATATATATATATATATATATATACAAATGCATTACGTTACTGAACCAATCCCACTTTGGTTTTGATGTGGCGGGTATCCACATACTGTTTTGGAGTGACCTCTGTGTCGACTACTTGAGGGTAGTCGGTAATCGTTAACCGTTCTCCCGTAATGAAAACCAAAATGTCAGTCAGCGTATCTCCACCTTTGTTGACTGCATATCTTTTCGCTTTTACATAACTGGCTGCTGTATCGTTTTATAGAAGAAAAACCTTTATGGTTTTCTCAGACATTCACGTGAGACATGCGTTGGCATCTGTAGAAGGATAACTCACCTATTCAAGATTTGACTGTGACCGCTCATGATGAGATGACCCTGCATGGCATCCCAAGAGCGAATGACTTTATGATCTTGAATGACTAAACTACCCGATCCAATCAATGTACCAAAGGAGGTGTACGACAGACATTTTGTTGATATATAGAAAACGAACATCATTAACTTCGATACGAAGGAAAATACAAAAGAACATCCTCATCATATTTTATGCCGAATTATCATTACATGAACGTTGGTCTGAGCAGTCGGGGAAATACTAATCTCTTCATGAACAAGCTCCTGAATAACAAGCTCAAGTACGATAACGTGATTATTTACACCTCAATCATCATCAAGACAAATACAATATGCTTTATATGTGACGTGCTTGTGCTTGAGTGTGTCTGTGTATGTGTGTGTGTGTTTAATTTGAATTTTTAACGTAGCTCTTACAACTTTTCAGTAATATAGCCACGATGTCTGCAGTGTGGTAATTTATTGTGATATCTGAGGCATAATGCTGCAGACATCTTGACATTAGGTCGACAAGTCCAAACATTATCATCTTAATGCTGAACGATAGAAAAGCAGCTGGTTCTACCATTCTTATGTTTTTGGTATGACTCATCCGGGGTTTGAACCCACGACCTCTCCCATCCGAGGAGGACACTCAACCTACTAGGCCACCGAAGCGGTCCACTGATGTGATTAAAACGAATTTGTCATAAATATGCATAATTGTAGAGCTATTCGAATTTGTTCTCAAAGCATGTAATATTTCATGAAAATTACGTAAAAGTAGAAAGGCGTTTTGAAAGTGAGAATTATATACGTGGAAAGGAGTGTGCTGGTGGGAGATACTATGAGTTGGTTTAAACAAAGAAATAGAGGAAACACTGCCATTGCAAAATATTGCATGTATCTTTAGCCATTCAGCTGAAGATGGCATATTGTTATCTATTGCATGTCAGTACTTCATCACGAATCACTTTTACACAATAGGACAAAATAATCAATAGTCATTAAATTTTCTCACATTTTTCGGTAGATAACTCGATTCGTTTTTAAGTCTTCAAAGCAATATTTTGATTTATTTAACACATTTGCTTTTAATTTATGGACCAATATATTGTTTTAACACAATATTGAACGCACAATTAAGCAAACGCCACTTGAGATAGACAACTTGAACTTTGCCTTCAGGCCTGCATTCATATGTATACGTTTAGACGCTCATGCTGCTTCCTCATTTAGGATTTTTTTTTATTATTTCATAAATTTTGTAGGCATTGGACTTTGTTTGATTCAACTTGGACTTTTGACTTAATCGTTGTTAGTATGATTAAGCAAAAGCTAATAGCTCAATGAAAGTTTGACATACGTGTTTAATATATAAATAAGCTAGTTAGATTTACATGCAATTATAAACTTTATTACAACTTTTCTGAAACGTTTCTTTTGAAACAAATGTGATTAAAAATTTCTGGTCGGCTGTGTGTTCTACAAACACGGATGTGCCTTTTGTTCTTATTATTCAATGAAATACTGCCAATATTTTGTAGTGTCTCTTTAGGTATTCATTGTATGGGGTTTTTAGAGCCAGATGACGACCGTTTTAGCAATTTGATGTCCGTCGATGCTAGTACTGTCTACCATAACGACGTGCGTGTCATTCGCTATCCGTGATGCTAGTACTGTCTACCATAACGACGTGCGTGTCATTCGCTATCCGTGATGTTAGTACTGTCTACCATAACGACGTGCGTGTCATTCGCTATCCGTGATGCTAGTACTGTCTACCATAACGACGTGCGTGTCATTAGCTGTCCGTGCAGGCTAGTTCTGTCTGCCATTATGAGGTGTGTGTCATTTGCTGTCCGTCTATGCTAGTACTATGCCACGGACTGAGTCGTGTCACTATTGGTCCCTCTTAGCTAATACTATCTGCCATGAAGACATGCCTATCACTAGCTGTCCGTCCGTGCTTGTACTCTCTGCTATAAATACATGTGCGTGTCACTCGTGTTCCGTCCATGCTAATAATGTCTGCCATAAAAAGGTGCATGATACTTGTTTTTCGTTACTGCTCTTACTGACTGCCGATTTCCATTTGGTAAATTTAAACTGCATATCATAACCATGCTTCATAGATAAATCATTCTGAGTGAAAAACTCTGACATCAAGGTAAATGAATATAATGACAAATCGCACACTTTTGCGAAACAATATATATATATATATATATATATATATATATATATATATATATATATATATATATATATATATATATATATATATATATATATATATATATATATATATATATATATATATATATATATATTCGGCTCTTTCATTTTAAGGCCATACTTTACTGACGGTTCTGTCTACCAAGGTTCTCATGCAACCTCATGAAGTACCGATAAGCATGGATACTTAAATCTCTATAGAATATTTCAATGTCACATGTCATGTATACGTATATCAGGAATTTATTACAGATTTTGTTTACCAAGAATTACTAGCAACAACAAACCAGAAATACGAAGATAATGACAAGATAGTAGATTGGATCAGTGTTGTTTGAATTTCACGGGCATTTATGATACGTTTAAAAAGCTTGTTGAAATTATTATTTGTCATTAGACCGTAAATATTTCCTCTTTTGTATTTTGCACGTTATCCAACTTTTAAAAAAACTGTTAAGCCGAAAATGCAAAAATATTGGAAAATTTGAGGTAGAAATGTAAGGCGCATAAACTTAAACAAGAACAGGGATAGTGGTTAAGGTAATGAAAAACATTTTTTTTTACATGCATTTCCCTTTTGGCATAAGAAAAATATAAATTCTAAGTTTCTCTTAGAAATATTTGATATTGCTGTCATGCACTATTGAATATAAAGTAGATGAATGTGTGTAGTGTATTTCTCTATTAATTAATATTTTCGCTACACCAATTGATACATGGTACACCAGTGGTTCCTCACCTTTTTTAATAGGAGGACCCCTTTTTAATTTCAAAAATTGTCGCGGACCACCACATGCTATAAGTTTAAATTCTGAGAAAATACATAATGACACAAATCTTATGAACTCGTTAACCATTGTAAATTAGCAAATAAAAACATTAAAAAATAATAGTATATATGCGAGACATTATTTAATCTGCCTATTCGGAAATAGCCTTTGGAATAACAATTGGCCACCAGGGGGCCGTGGCCCTTATGTTGCGAACTACTTTGTGGGACCACTTCCCCATAACCCTTCCTATTATACTGCGCAGTAAAGTAGGATACCTAAGTAACGTCAGCCTTTGAACCTTTTATCATTCTCCATAACAAAAAAGTTCTCTCAAACAAAAGCTATTGTTTCAAACTTTTGTCATGTTTTGATCTTTGTGGTTTGAGGCACAAATAATATTTTTGAATGTTATATTATGTCTGGACAAGTAAAGTGCTTTGTCAATGAATATAAATTAGAGGGAAGAGTGGTTTTATCTATTCATTAATCAACATGTTTCCATTGAGCACCCTCTGGCTTGGGCGTATCTTTTAAAGCAAATAAATCCCACGCCCTTGAGGTAGCCCAAACCACTGAATCAGCATGAAGTTAAATCAAATAGAAACAATATACCATCATACACAAAAAGTTGCATAGATAAACATATCACTGAATAATTTTTGTTTTCATAGTATCAAAACAAAAGGAAAGTTAAATAAAAGAACAGATAATCGATATTTTCCAAAACTTAATAATTAACCCAAACCAATAAAGACATTATAAGTTTTAGTGTCATAGGAATAGATTATATGCACCTAACCTTAGGATTCTTAAGTCATGGTAGAAACCAAAGGGTTGAAGATAGCTAAGAAAAGAAGTATCATCCGGCAAAAGCGAAAGCAATTTCTGAATCTAAAATCTTTACCTAAGTTGGACGTTATGTCCGTCACAAACTTTATTATTTGTTTCACTGGACATGAGTAGAGAGATAAAGCTGGTTCTTCATCAATCATATTTTGTGCATCATGTTTTATGTGCCCCAATAAAAATAACAAAACAAATGAAAATGAAAAACGTACTGCCAGATCAGTCATTTATTTGCATAAAAAAAAACGTATGGGGATAAAAAAAAGACAAAATTTAAACCTTAGAGAACTTTATTGCATTTATCCGATTTAATAATAGCACATTTACACATATACATTTGTTTCAAACATTGATATTAACACGTTTAATACATAATACCAAACCTAAATATACGTACATTCCATATATACTAAAAATATGTACTTATGTATACATACCTATATTCCCAAGACTTCTCATGCATGCAAATATATGTGAATGTATTACATAGACCTACATGCATATATACACATACTTACATATACACTAAGTAGCTTCTCGTGGGTCGGTGGTTCTTCCCGGATTTTTCCAGGGTTCTTCCTCCACTATTAATACTGGCCACCATGTATAGTCTATCTTAACCTGAAAAATGGTGTTAAACCTTACAACAACAACAACAACAACAAAAACAACAACAACAACAACATATACAATAAGTGTGACAGGCATATTCATGCAGATAAACATTCGCCCATACATTTATGTCTACGTTGTGTATGAAACGAAGGCAAGAAATAACATGCTAAATTACGACCTGTGCATTACTTCAGAAGGTTCTTGTTGAATCGCAGGCATGACCTTCAATCTAAACTCGTTCTGGAGAAGACACAAACATTCTTCTAAATATACAAGCAGTATTTAATATGCTTTACATAATAATATGACAAGCACATTATACATAAAATATGTTGTAGTAATGCATCTATTAAACAATGGAAAATAAAATGTAACTTTAAGTAGTATTCTTTACATTAGCACGATCAATTAGTGTCCTACTAATATAATTTTCCAGATTTCTAACTCCAGTAGTTTAAGTCAAAATGAATAATTTAATACATTTCAACATACTCGGATCTTTCCAAAGTTAAGAATTTATACACTTCTTTTTATCTACAAATAACATTTGAGTTCGAAAAGAACGTTGCACAAATTAAAAAATTATTCGATCTAGTGAGGTGCTTGTGCTGTTTGGTCACTTCTATCTCCCTGATTGGACATGTAAAGTATGGGCATTTTTTTTTTAGTTTGAAAAGGGCTTTCCTTAAGGTTCTAAATGTTGTCACTTTTACTTTACATAAATACTCTTTAATTCCAAACTTTTGGGACAAATCTTTCTATAAAATCGAGTTCTTAAAGATAATATCATTCTTGATTGCCTATTCTGGATAAACGGCTCTGACAATGTTGAATAACTACGTTGGACCGGACGTTTTGGGTAAACTGGAAATGCAATCGTAATTACGATACAATTTTGGTGTGTATCAGGTTTTCCACGACATGGGTGGTCTCATTCTGATTTACACTTACTAAGAAAGTAAATTTCGAGGAATTTTAAGATGCATACATTTTGTTATTGTCATTATTTTTAACGAATACACATGTTTATGCCATGTCACTTGCACAATCGCGATTCGAGGGACCACTGCTATGACCTATATCATACAGCTCATGTCTTTTATAGCTTTCCTAAAATTGTGTCAAAATAGTTAAACGGGGGAAATTGCTAAGCAGCTGTTGTGCGGGATTCCATATAGACATCAAAATAATACTTTTGCGTCATCTTGAC